TTATATATATATATATATATATATATATATATATATATATATTAACCTTACAAGCAATCTGCATTTTCATGGATAATATTGTAAAAATATAAAATTAAAAATAAAAATAAATAAATATGAAAGATCATAATAGCCAACAAGATTTAGGATTTAGGAATATTTGATAATTTTATTTCTTCCCAGTCACTAACTTTCCATATATTTTAAAATCATGCCCCCGAGAATTGAACTTAGTATAGCACATAGAATAATAATAAAATTAATATACACCATGCACGGTCAAAAGTGAGACTAGAGCAATTTTCACAAATTCGAACCATAACGGTTAAGAAGACATGGGTCTGGAAGTGGTTTAACGGGCCTAACCGATAAACTGGCCGATTCAACCGTTTTAATGAGGCAAATCCCACGCGGTCAAAAAGGAATTAAAAAAATAAAAAATTACTAAAAATCTCCCTTAAAACATGAAAAGCATATAAAGAATCATTAAAACAAAACACATTCAAAATGAAGTTGAAACTATTGAAAAAGTTGGACTTTAAACAATCGATTTGTGCCTAAGGGTGTTTTTAATTTTTTTCTGAATAAGATAGAAAAATCTAAAAGTGAGTATTAATGACCATAACAATTTTTACTCTTTATTATAATGAAAAGAATATTAAAAAATACATTACAAACCAAACAGTTACTTATTTGATCGCCCGGTTTTTCCAATAGTTGACTAGAGAATGAAATGAAAAGTAAATGGAATTGACTGTCAGTTTAAAAATAGGTAAAGTATAGAAAATCATGTTTAGTTTATGAAATTGAAAATTAGTCCCATATATTTTATATTTAAGAGTCAAGTACTACATTTTGAGAGGATAAATGTATTTTATTTAATATTTTCATCAACAAATAAGATTAAACTCACTTTTGGTATGTCTTTACTCTCACAATCACATATCTATTAAAATTATTTAAAATATTATAAAGAAAAAATAATAAAAATAACCTAAATTTTATGAAGACATTTTGGTCATATAGTACTTTTAAATTACTTTTAAATGTTTTAGCGTCGATATATGAAACTTGAGCTTACCCGAACATATAGTGAAACAAATAAGATTAAAATACATTTTATACTCTAAAAAATTAGGGGGATTGAGAGTGAAATATGAAATATATAGGATTATTTCTAAATTTTAAAAACAAAGCAGAAATTTTTCTGAATTTACACATTATACAATCAAGAAGCGCGACTTGAATGAATCTGAATAAATAGAACAATTCTTAAGTTCTAAAAATAAAATGAGATTTTTAAGAAAAACTCCATAAAACGCATGTGCATGTCCCAAATTTTAAATTCCCAGTGTTTTTCATTTTCTTTTCTTATATACATATTATTTATAATCTGTTCCATATGATAAGTCAATGAGAGGACCCTAGCCATCTTTTTTTTCGAAAAGAGAAGAGGCTAATAAGATATGGTTGGTACATAAATAATGTTTCAATACTACATGTCCACCAATCAACATCTACTATCTCTCGCTGGTCCATTGGAGCATTAAAGTCCTTAATGAAGAGTACCGTTTTAGTTACACGTGTAGGGTGCAATTCATATCTTTGAATGCATGAATAATTCTTTTTCTTTTTTACGTCCATGTCCTGTAATAATTTCTCTGCATTTTCTTTTAAACATGCAAACAATGGAAAGTGATTTAAACACCATGACAAAAAACCAAGTGCCAAATCCCAAATGAGTGTGTTAAGAGTACTTGAGCATCGCACAATTGCATTATCATTCATCAGGAAGACAATACAAACTCCTTTAGAGCAGTGATTTCCTCATCACCCCATTCAAACAAAAGCCAGATTATTCAGACATTTTGCCGACAGACGATTTATTTAGATATATGATGATCTCGGACATATGTCCTTAGGTCGATTTGGGCTTGAAATCGTACTAGGGATTAAGACGTGAGGACTTTAACATTATAGTTTGGCAGCATCATTTTGGTGGCATCCTTGCACTGTGCTTCTTCAACTTTTACCTGACCAATGCATCTGCATCCCCCCAAGCACTCGCACGATCCGCACCACTTGGGGCAAGACTCAAACACTTGGAAGCAAATGCACCAATCGGGACGTGGATAAATCAGCGGTTGAGCGCAATAGTTGCAGCAAACATCATCACCTCTTAGAGAAGCTGCAAAAAAAACCAAGAGAATATACATTTATGTGGAATATTGCAATCACTGCAAATCTAAAAAGCTTCTATTATGTGGCTACATGGTTTATTACCTTGAGCCCTAGCTGGGTCAGTATTGACCCCAAAAGCAGCAACTAGTTCAGCTAAGTTAGCCCTAGCTTGAGCCATTGTTGAAGACATGTAAAGGATGGCTAATGCAAGCACTGCAACTTTCATGGACCTCTCCATCCTTTTTCCCCACTTTCTCCTCTAAGTTGCTCTTCATGGTTTAGCCTCATTTCCTGGCTATTTAAGCTTGTGAAGCGGTGGTCCCTATGGCTTGGCAAAATTTCTGTGGTGCTATAAATGTAGTCCGTGGCTTGGACAAGTTGGCTCCATGAAATTTATTTGCTGTACCTTCGGTAGTGAGCCCACATATATCAAAGCATCAAGGAGGTCCCCTGGACATTGAGCTTAAAAGAAATATATTGGTTTTTATAGAATAGCTTTTGTTTTATATAATGGTCAAAATGAAATCAAAATTGTTATGTAAATTAATTTTGTATTGGGGTGTTGTTTAAGTAAGGCTGAGGCCCTAAACAATCAAAGTAAGGGGATACCTCCAAATTGCGGAAATATGTTACTTCAAAATCATGAGGGGCTCAAAATAAAGATGCGGGAAAGTTAAAAAAAAAATCATTTTATCCTATATTTTGGAATTTAAAATAGTTTATTCTATTCATATTTTACGTTAAGTACCACATTTTGCAGGAAGAGTGTCTTATTTTTTTTATACATCTGATTAAACTTAAATTTAGGGATCCATACTTATCATAGACAAATATTATAAAAATATAAACAAATAAATAAATAATGATCAAAATACCCAACAAAATTTAGAAATATTTAGGTAGTTTTATTTCTTCCCAGTTACTTATTTTCCATATGTTTTACAATCATGTAATGGTGTGAAATATTCATGGCCCCTAGATTTGAATTTAGTATAGGACATAGAAAAATAATAAAATCAACACACACCATGCACTCTCAAAAGTGAGAATAGAGCATGAAATGTGAAATAAAAAGCTATTGATTTTCAATTTAAAAATTGGTGAATTACATAAAGGAAAAAATTTATATAACGATGCTACCTTATAATGTAGAACTACGGATACCCCTCAAAACTCCATCCGAAAAGGTAGTTTTAATGTTGAAAACCCTTTGATTGATCATCTCGACATCGAGATGTATGACTATGAAAAATAAAAAGATTTTAAGTCTCAAAAATAGAACATTTTACAACATATTATTTACACCGCCCATTTTCAGGATTTTCATATGTTTATAGATCTACTTGATTTTAACCATTTCATAAATTTAAAATTTTATAATTAGAAATAAAAATAGATTTTGAGATAATCCTAATAAAATTTTACATCAAAATTATATACCATGATAAAATTTGAAGGAGCACCTTACCTCTACACCTACGGATGCATCCGTATGCCAATTGCACCCTTACATAAAAATCATGTTTAGTTTATGAAATTGAAAATTAGTCCCATTTATTCTATATTTTACAGTCAAGTGCCACATTTTGAGAGGAAAAAACGTATTTTATTTAATATTTTTATCTCTATGCTTAATCACGTACCTATAAAAAATATTTTAAAAATATTATAAAATAAATAACCTACATTTTATAAATATATTTTGGTCTTATAGTACTTTTAAATAAAAAATTAAGTATTTTTTTTAGATGTGTGATAATGAGAAGTATATATATCAAACTTGAGTTTACACCAACGTATAGAGAAAGAAATAAAATTAAAATACACTTTATACCTTAAAATGTGGGGGACTTGAGAGTGTAATATGAAATATATAGGATTATTTTTAAACTTTAAAAGCAAAACAGAATTTTTTTTTCTAAAATTTTATTAAAATAAAATAAGATTTCTCTCTGTATAAAATGATTTTCGAAAATTTTCGTGAATATTTAACCTTCTTCAATATTATTTCATTTCTTGCCATTGCTTTTTAATTTTTATGTTTCTTTACATACAATTTCAATAAAATTGTGTTTTTGGGTTTGCAGGAGTACGATGTAGATATCATTTGGGCTCCATTTCTAGTTGATTTGGGATTTGGGATTGGCAGACTAGTATCCGCTTGTTGATTGTTTTTGTGTAGTCATTGCCTTTAATAGGTTCGCCAAGACATAGGAAGTAGAGATGCGAATCAAGGTTGTTGTTGCTCGTGCTGCTGCTCTTATTAGTATTACAAGTGATGAAGATTTGATCATGAAGAGGTGTTTGTTGAACATGTGTAGGCCTATTTGCAGTAGGATATGCGTTGTATACCAATACACTTGGTTACTGCCTCTCTCTCTCTCTCCAAAAATGAAGCTATTGGGGGGAGACGGCTCATACTTCCCCTTGTCAATTTACTTTTAGAAATAGAAACATGAGAAGCAATATTTAGACCAAGTAGAAATAAAGATGCCTTAGATCAACAAAATTACAGTTCCATATGTGGTTGAGGACATATTCTCATGGGTTTTCATTTTCCTTATTTATTTCATCTCTTACCTATCAAAAGAAAAGGACGTGCCTATGTTAAGAAAAACAATAAAGAAAATTGTATGCTCTTGTTGGAGCATACTGAATAACTCGCAAGAGCTTCTTAGGTGAATTTTATCTTTTTATTTTTCAAATTTGGAGATCCACTCAAGCTTGTGTCGTCTCTGCTTAACAATGTGGTAATCCACATGCATTCAAATCGCTCAAAATATACTCTTCGGGCTTTACCCTCACATGCTTCCTAAAACGAATTGAGGAATGTACATTGGGATCTTTTTTACTACCTTTTTGGACCGTCGATTTTCAAGCTTTCATAGATCAATCAATCTACACTATTTTTGAAGCTTTTAACTTTATAAATAAAGATAAAAATATATTTCAAGACTAACACAAAGATTTTCAGTATTGAAACCACATTTCTCGATACTATTTGAAGGTAGGTTCTAATTTGATTGTTTAGAGCCTAGGCTCTAATAATTCAGTAGTACAAAGCTGAACCTTCCAATATGAGATGAGATGGCCACCACCGTTAGCTTTGTTGCCATGCCCTATAACTTTTTTCTTTCATCAAATTGTATAGAGCATACGTATCAGAGTTTAGTGCAAGCAACAATAGAGGCAAGCGAACCGTAAAGGGTGTGGACAGGCTCAGAACTGTAATACTCCCACTTGAACGTATTGGTTCACATGATCTTCTTAGGATATGCCGATCAAACGTTCGGTATAATTTCTGTGAAGTTTAGAGTACGAAGTAATAAGGAGTAGAGATGTAATCTTTCAAGAAAATGAAAGAATTGAAGAACTTTTCTAGCCTAAGCAGTCGACAGTTTTGTAGATAAGTTAAAATCCTCTGTCCTAGTTTGTCCTCCATGGCAATGCAACGATAATGAGGGAGAAGTTCAAATATATGATATTTGTGTTGAGCTTGTACAGATCAAGATCTAATTGCTAGAAAAAATTTATTTTATTTTTGGTAATTTTAGTTTTTGGGAGGTGGTTTACGTGTTATTTTATATTAGACCGCTTGAGAGGCTTTATTGTTTCTTGTGTAGGAAAAAGTGGAATAGCTAATGGGAGGGATAATATATTTTTTTTTAGAATGATTAAAGTGGAATGGCAGGGTTAATGTTTATCTTTGGAGAGTACCTTTTTTTTGGAGGTTTAGAATGTAGTATAAAAGAGGTGGATGTCCCATTGTAAAGAGAACGATTTTTATAGAATGAAAAAAGTGTAGTTGATGTTAGAAACAGAGAGCCTTTTCATGGTTGTTTTTTCCTTCTTTTGTTCTTGTGGAGCGTGATGGAGGATCTAGTTCTCACGTTTGTGCCTTCTTCTTGCTGATCTTTTCTTTTTCCTTTTTTTTTCTCTCTAAATTGTTGTTGCATTTGCAGGTTATTGGGTGCCTGTGATTTTCAGGTGCATCATTATGATAATAAGTAATATATTAATTTTTATATTAAAGTCTACATAAGTATCTAATAAGTTCCTAATATAAATGACAAAACACAAACAATGTCCTTAAGAAATTCCACACTGAAAACATACCAATAAGGGAGACTCACTAAGGTATAAGCATTCTATTATAGGGCGTTTCAAAGAGTTGATTGATGCATTAAACCCCAAATACAGGGGTTATGTTCTATTCATCTTACAAAGAAACCCTTAACAGAGAGAGAAAGTTTATGTGAAAATGGTAGATCTAACATTTCAGAATGCTGTGGTCTATGTGCAATCCTAGACTGTAATTGCTTCATATAGTTCCTCCAGGAATTGCCCAATTTTTTAAATTTTTTATTATCAATTTAATAAAATCCAGATCGGTAGGTGATGAGGTTTTGTGAAACTTGATATTGGGATTTGAAACATTGTTTGCCGATTGCTCAAGGTATTTAACGCTCAAGGTATTTAACCTAAGCAATAATTAAAATTATAAAAAAATTTAAAAATTATAACATGGTCAATCGTGAATACTGTATCTACTTGCAATCAGGACCTTCACACATTTCAATAGAGATTATTATCCATTTCAATGAACTTTTTTTTTTTTGACAAATATTTTTCAATGAACTTTTAATAAATCAGAATTGCACTATCTCGGCAGTTTTGGATTCTTGTTTAGATGTTCATATATTTTGTGGTCATTTCAATAGAGATCATTATCCATTTTATTGAGTTTACAGGGAGCTATTGGACTGCATTTCCTCGCATGTTAAATCTCTATTTTAGTCTATTTTCAAAAATGATTGTTGAGAATATTGACCGATAAATTTTCATTCCGAAATCAATAAGAAAGTGGACACATGTACATAAATAAACGCACCAGACACGTCAAAATCTTATCTGAAAAGAATTATTGAGGTGTCATTCCAATGCCTAATTGTTAAGAAGTGGTGAATTCCACATGCAAATGGCACGTGCCCTTCGCCCTTCCTTCAAATTTACAAACTGAGGTATCAAAACTTGTGCAGTACAAAATGTCACCTGTGATAATCAATTATTTGTATTGAGGTCCTTCTAGTGACCTCAATATATGCTGGACTTGGCCAACATCATTTTCTAATTTCTTAATTTTTCTATAGAAAAATTGTTTGATAGGGCTGAAGCCAATCAAAATAAGTAAGTATCACCTCATAACTCATCAAAATTTACAATTCAAACAT